AATTTATCATTTTCATTAAATATTTATTACATTTTAACAACGAGTTATCGCTTTAAAGTTTATAATCTATGATAAAGTATTTCCACCTTGATTTAGAAACAACTTGCCAAATAATATTGGAATATTTTTAGAAACTATCATTGTATCGATATTTTTGATATTTTTTTTTTTTTTTGGGGGCGAGTAAATGTTAAATTTTTTTTTATATTTTTTCTTTATATTTTTTTTTATTTTTTTTATATTTTTCTTTATATTATATTTTATATTTTTATTTTTCTTTTATATTTTCTTATATTTTCTTTAATTTTCTTTTTTTCCTTTATATTTTCTTATATTTTTCTTTATATTTTCTTATATTTTTTTCTTTATATTTTCTTATATTTTTTTTTTATATTTTCTTATATTTTTTCTTTATATTTTCTTATATTTTTTTTTATATTTTCTTAAATTTTTCCTTTATATTTTTTTATATTTTTATTTTTCTATTTTTCTTATATTTTTTTCTTTATATTTTCTTATATAGACTGGAAATTTGTTGTTTCAATATTTTTGGAATTTTGATATTTTAACAAGACGGCTAATTAGTTGAACTTTAAGCAGATATTTTTGCTTGTCTTTGTAAATATTATTGGCGTGTTAAGCTCCTTGAAAGTAATGATTTTTAAACGTATGTTAATACCGTCAGACGTTACCCCGTCAGTACCCGTGTTTTAGCTTAATATTTATCAAACAAATTCTCATTAGTCAATCAACTTTCTGAATAGCTCTGTCAAGTAACTACCAGGAGTTTTTGTTTGCTTAGTAACATATCAACTCCTTATGGGTCATTTTCTTAGTAGTATTAGTAATTTCTTTCAAAAAAATGTATTGCTGGTAATATTATTTCATTACTGATATGTAGTGCTGGCAATTTTTATGATACTTTTTTACAAAAATGCATTGCTGGTAATCTTTCACTAGAAAAAATGTTTATACTTTAATCGTGTTTTTACCTCAATTTATGTGTTAAATATTTGCCTATAGCTAGGACCGTAAAAGATGCTAACACCCCGGGTCAGGGTGGATCTGTGAACAACAACAATTTAGGGGTGGTTCCACGCACAAGGAGTTTCTGGTTTTAGTCCATTATGAATTTTTGAGTTTTATGAATTACAAGCAGTGTCAAGTAGGTCTGTAATAATTGGGGTAGAAAGATAAGGAAAGATCTCAGTAACTTTCTTTTTCATTGCATATAATTTGAAAGAAAAAAATGGACTCTGGTCATAAATATAAAAAATTACTGAAAATAAATTGAACGTGTTTTTGAAAATTTAAATTTTTGAAACTTACGAATACCTTTTTAGGGGCATTTTAATTTGATTTTTCAAAATAAAACTACATTTTTAAATTTTATTGGGTTGGTGCGTAATTATCAGGCGTTTTTAAACGATATTTATTATGAAAAAAGAAACATAACAATTCAACAATAACATTTTTAAATGAATATTCCGGAGAGTATAATTATCGACCCGCATTTTTATAACGTGAAAATAAAATAATGCTTTTTATTAAAAAAAAAAGTAAAGAAAACAACAATTTTTATTAACGAATAACTCGCCTACACAAAGGCCTTATAAGTATACTCCAACCCAATATTTATCCTATAATAAAAAGAAAGAAGTCTCCAAATAACATAGAGACTATCTGAGTTGGAGTTGCACAGTCCTCCCATTCTAGTATTGACAGAGATTGATTATGTTCTACACTGCAATCCCTTTCCTACAGACCAAACGTCGCAAAACGCTCTCAACTTTACCGCATGGTAAATGTTCTAATGAACTACATTCATCGGTTCCACGTGTTCAGACATTCATAGCTAAAACCTGACATACGATGTACTCAAGGACGAATCATCATCATTCCCACGTATTCCTTGGGTAAGAAGAAAGTTGCATTTGAAGAACGTCTTTCCAAGAACGGCTACTTTGTTGAACCGACTTCTGAAAGAATACTTTCTCGATCGCTACAATCTTAATCTCTTTTCAAGTCTCGTGTCAACCGATGTCTTTTCAACATATCCTCATAATCTGCACTTCTTAACACCTCCTCTTACGTTCATACAACAACCTAAATTTCGACTCCCGAGAGGATGCTCCCCTGATCGCTACAACCCTAACCTCATCAAGTCTAGGGGCAACCGTTATCCATCCTACATATCCTCATAATCTGCACTTTTTACCTCCACCACTTGCGTTCATACAACAACCTTATTCATTAACGCACAACTACATACGGCTGCAAGGCTTCTGATCGGTAGATTGGAATTTTTGAGGTGTGTGGAATGGCCTATTATTTGCTGTTGCTCCGAAGTCCAACTTAACAATTAAGTATTGCTGATATTTATTATTCTTTCTTCAAAACGAAATATATGAAAAAAGCGGAAGTAGCCTCGTTGTCGAGTAAATTGCGTCGATATATATATATATATATATATATATATATATATATATATATATATATATATATATATATATAGCTCTTGAAAATATATTTTCAATCGAGCACTGTTGAATGACATGCTAATTCTAAAAACAACATCCAACTGCGTTAATGCGAAGTTCTTCATTAAAATGAATCGAGCATTTCGGTTGTTTGTTTACATTTTAAAAACAATCGGTAGATTTGGGTGACTGATTCTGTCGGGTGAAGATAGTTCAGTAGTAGAGACTCTGACTGACAACAAATTGGGTTGTGTTTCAAAACGGCTTGAGGCAATCGGTTGTCTAGTCTGTGATACGGCGAAAACAGTACTGCTGTCAATGACATATATATATATATATATATATATATATATATATATATATATATATATATATATATTGATAATATATATATATATATATATATATATATATATATATATATATATATATTTCCAAGAGGATAAGACAGAGCAAAGAACATAATATAAAAAGCTCAGTCATTAATATTCCATGATTATATATATACACACACACACACACACATATATATATATATATATATATATATATATATATATATATATATATATATATATAAATATTACAAGAAAATATTATTCGCCTCGAGCTATCATGCAACAGATTATATCAGATGTGCTTCAATAAGTCTGCAGACCAATGATTGTAAAAGTATTTTACATAACAAATATGTGTTGTTCAACATTATTCAGTGGTCAAAATCGAACATTATACAATGAAAATTCCTGATCAAGATTCAGTTAAATACGCATCAGGATGAAGAATCATTGATAGACCCATGAATTTTTCCAAACGGATATCATTTTCCCAATAGTGTTTTGCAAATACAAGCTGCCCGAACTAAAAGTCCACCAATGCCATTGTCTGGTCTGTTAACCATTACGCTGCCTCATATTCCTGTAAGACAAAATATTCCTTCAACGTTATTTTTTTTTTTTTTGATGTGTGCGGAAAATAGAATGAAGCCAAGATGCACATTTACAAGAAGGATGACGTTACGTAATTAACATCGATGAACCAATTACAATTTGGACAATGTTACTTCACGTCCAATGGTGTTGAACGTGTTAATTTAAAAACCTAGAATAGAATAAGATCCCAGATTAGATTTAGGCAAATTTCAATCTTGATGTCATTTTTTCAATATTATATTTTGATCATTTAATGCTGCTGTTCTTTTATCTTTCTTAAAAAGTTGTTTTTCCTATGTTCAAGTTTGCATCTATTGAATATGAATGATATGAACAGCAAAAAGAAAAGAAGAAATCTATTCGCCAACAATTCATTAGAATTCGCCTCTTCTTCATAAATAATGCATTCAATTTTTCGTCCACTTTCGAGGTTTTAATTTCTTTGTTTAGTTTTTATTCAACCCCACCCAAGCCCACAAACTGAAAAAAAGTTTCTTCGTTTTATTTCTTTATTTGTACTTATTTATTTTTTCTACACACACACACACACACACACACACACACACACACACACACACATATATTGCTTTTTCAAAAATTTACAGGGTGGTAATTAAATTTCATATTATTTGAATGAATTGAAACTTGTTTTTGTTATTTTATTATTATTATTATTATTATTATTATTATTATTATTATTATTATTTTCTTTGATTTCTGGAGTTTACACATTTCTTTCTGGGTCTCGCCCAGGGACCTAAGGTTAGAAATGGCATCATGACACTTTCCACTGACAAAAAAAAAATACAAGGATAAAGCCCTTCGTAAAGTGTGGGCTGTACTTGTCAGAACAATTTTTTTATCTCCTTGAGGCATGGACTTCCAGGAATCCCTTCAATTAGTCTACTGCAATCTTTTCCAACCAGTCCAACTACAACAGGGATTGTTGATGTTCCCATATGCCACATTTTCGAGATTTCTATTTCAAGGTCCTTGTATTTTATTATTATTATTATTATTATTATTATTATTATTTGTGTATGTTATGTTTCCTGCTTTATATCCTGTAGAGCCGGGTCCAAACTATGGTCCTTAGGCCCTAGAGTAGAATTGTCATTAAATCTATAGTACTTTTCTTAGTATATGGGATGTTCCTAGTAGGGCGATCTTCTAGACCACCTGTATGTTGTTGTTACCTGGTACACTATTAGTAAAATTGTCCATTCCTTTTCTCACAAGACGCAGAGCTCCGATTACTGTTGGTAAAATATATCAGTCTTCGATATCAATAAGCACACACTTCCTGAATTTCTTGCCTTTTATGATAATATCAGGTCTGTTGGCTTTTATTTCCCTGTCAGTTTGAATTGGCATATCCCAGAGGATAGTTACATTGTTATTTTGGGTAACTGTCTGGTTGGTAGTCATTGACCCCCCCCCCATCCCACCTCATCCCCGTCAACGAAGTGAGATATTGGATCATATCATACCAAACAGGGATGGTGGATCCTACAGCGAAGTGGGATATTGGATCAAATCATACCAAAATAGGATGTTGACACCATCCACTACGAGGTGAGACATTAGATCAAATCATACCGAACAGGGATGGTGACACACCACAGCGTATAGGGCGTTGGATCAAATCATACCGAACAGGGATGGTGACCCCAACGACCAAGTAGGATATTGGATCATACCGAAGTGGGATGGTTCCCCCCAACGAAGAGGGTCCTTGGATCAAATCACACCGAACAGGTATCGTGAATCCCTAAAACGAAGAGGGATATTGGATTAAATTATACCGAACGGAGATTGAACCCCACAACCAAGTGAGACATTGCATCAAATCATACTTAAAGGGACATTAGATCAAATTATACTGACCAAGGATGGTGCCCCCATCCCTGCAACGAATTGGGACATTGGATCACATCATACACAATACGGATGGCGACCCCCATAACGTAGTGGGAGGTTTGACCAAATCATAGCGATCGGGAATGGTGACCTACTCACAACAAATTAGGACACTGGACCAAATCATGCCGAACAGGAATTGTGTGCTCCCCCCAACAAAGTCGGACATTGAATCAAATCATACCAAACAGGAAAGTGCCCCACAAGTGGTACATGCGATCGAATAATACCAAGCAGAGATGATGCCCATCCCAACGAAGTGGGGCAATGAATCAAATCATACAGAGAAGAGATGGTGACCAAAATCATATCGAATGGGTATGGTGACCTCCATCACAACAAAGTTGGACATTGGATCAAAGCATATCAAACGGGGATATTGACCCCCACAAAGAAATTGGACATTGATCAAATCATGTCAAAATGGGATTTTGCCCCACACCACCATCACACACTAAGACATTCATCCAAATCATACCAAAATAGGATAGTACCCCTTCCCATAACGAAATGAGACAAAGGGTCAAATCATGCAGAAACAGTGATGCTGATTCCTCAAAGAATTAGGACTTTGGAACAAATCATGCCGAACAAGGATGGTGACCTGTACAACGAAGTGGGACATTGGATTCGATCATACCAAAGAGGGATGGTGCCTCCCACAATGAAGTAGGACAATGAATCAAATCAAACCTATCAGGGATTGTGGCCCCCACAACAAAGTGAGACATTGGATCAAATCATACCAAATATGAGTGGTGTCCCCACCCCCAGAACAAAGTGGGACATTGGAAAAAATCATACTGAAATGTCATTGTTACCCCCGATTAAGAAGTGCGAAATGATAATGAACTTGAATTATCCCCCTGCCACAACGAAGTGGGACATTTGACCAATAAATTCCGAACAGGGATAGTAGCTCACGCAACAAAATGGGTCGTTGTACCAAATCATACCAAACTGGGATGGTTACCCCGCCCCCCTCATCGAATTGGGACATTGGATCAAATCGTACCGAACAAGGATGGTGAACCCCCACAACGAAGTGGAGCACTGGGTCAAATTATACTAAACAAGGATGGTGCCCCCACCAACGAAGTGGACCATGAAATCAACTCATACCGAACAGGGCTAGTGACCCACACAACGGAGTGGGACATTGGATCAAATCATACCAAACAGGGATTGCGCAGTCAACGAAGTTGGACATTGGATCAATTCATATCAAACGGGGATGCTGATCCACACAATGAAGTGTGATATTGGATGGGATCATACCAAAACGTAATGTTTCTCTCTCCGTCTTCTTTTTTCATCTCTCTCTCTCTCTCTCTCTCTCTCACACACACACACACACACACGCACACACACAAACACTCACTCACTCACTCACTCACTTTCTCAATAGTTTGTTACTTCTTCTCCTTTCCTTCTCATCTCTCTCTATTTTTTTCTTATTCCCTCTTTACTTTACATTTTCTTTCTTTTTCCTCCACACTCATATCTATCGCTTTCATCTCTTTTTCTTCTCTCCCCTTAGCTCAATTCGGCCATACTCTCTTTTTTCCCTTTCTTCAATTTACCTTCGCTACTTTTTGTTTCCACTGCTATATATATTTATTTTGTGTTTTTAAAACTATGCAGCCATGTTTATGAAAATATATGCGAAAAGATAGGAAAAAAAATTTCAGTGTAATTTATATTTTTGAAAAAAAAATAAACGTTTAATATTGTGTTGTGAATGAAGTTACTTTCCAAAGTCTAATATAAACGACTGTTTGTTTGTTTTTTGTTTTTATAACTGACATCTTTAATTCTTTGATTACATTTCAGTATAATTTTGCGCCAATGTTTCTCCCATGTTGGTGCATACAGTCTTGTGAATTATGTTATGCAAATTAAAATCTCCTTACAAAACATGATATTTATCTTGTGCTTTTGGTTTAATACTAAGTATTGCTAAGGGCGATATGACGTCGTTCTCTGTTAGAATATGCTTCGTTTATCTTGTATGTTCTGCGTGTGTGACATCGTGTGTACGTATAAGTGTAAAAGTACATGTAAATATTTGTGTATGTTTGAAAGTTTATGTAAGAATGTCGCTCGAATAATTGCATTCAATCGAGAAAATAAAGAAACGAGTTGTCTGTTCACTGTCATTAATAACTTAATCTTTCTTTCATAAAACATTCTATTCAAACATTTACCTTCTACTTTTCTTAAAACTGTGACATTGTTTTTCATCTTATTCACAAGTTTAACCCATACCTTACTCTCAGGCCCAAAGCATTTTTTCAACTTACATTATTACGTTGAGATATTTTTTTAATCATTTCGCCCCAAGCAAAGCGGTAATTCCACAAGTACGCAGGGGTTACAGAGACTGAAAGCGAAAGAGAAGACCGCGAATAAAGAAAACGACAAAAGATGTCGATTGATGTTGCATTAAAATTTTTCTTATTGTAGTTATCGGTGAAGCAACGAAACGGAATCGCGCTACACAGGTGGGAAGTGCGAGAAAAGAAACTATTGGAGTCGTGGTGGCGGTTTCATTTAGCTATTACAACAGTAAAAGGGTGGGACCTAAGTACCAATCTAGTAGCAATCTTAAATTCATGTAGTCGGGACACCGAGGGGGAAAAAACTCGTCAGAGCAGTTACCATGAAAATATTTGTAGAAAAGACAGAAGGAAGCTACGTCGTTTCGTTGAGAAAGTAACTGAAGCCGAGATGCCTGGAAATAATCGGTTACATAACAGATCCTTCTTTGGACTTTTTCAAGAATCTCGAGATGTATAGCAAGAGCACCAAAAAAAGACATGGTAGCAGTATTCAATCTACAGAAGAATATTATCTCAGAATGCATTATTAACACTCGAAGCCTAATTTTGTACATTCAGATCTTCATTTAAATCAGCATTTAAACATAAACAAGAAAAATATCCTATTATTATTGTCCCTCCCATCGTTAGTTCGCACGACCGCTACGGCTTGCCAGTATAATGGACTATTCCGCTTCGTTTATGTGGAAAGAGAGAAAATTATTATGTGGAAAAAGAGAAAAAAGACGCTACTTGTTTTCAGAGAGAAAATGAAAGAAAGAAAGATAGATAGATAGATAGATAGATAGATAGATAGATAGATAGATAGATAGATAGATATGTGCTTAACTTCTCCTGCTAGTACCTCATAAATAATGGACTATTCCGTTTTGATCGCGTGGAAAGTGGGGAAAAGATGCTACTTGCTTTCAGTAAGAAAGAAAGAAAGAAAGAAAGAAAGAAAGAAAGAAAGAAAGAAAGAAAGAAAGAAAGAAAGATATAAGCGCTTAACTTCTCCTGCCAGTACCTCATAAATAATGGACTATTCCGTTTTGATCACGAGGAAAGTGGGGAAAAGACGGTACTTGCTTTCAGTGAGAAAATGATAGATAGATAGATAGATAGATAGATAGATAGATAGATAGATAGATAGATAGATAGATAGATAGATAGATAGATAGATAGATTTAAAGTTTCCTCCAATAACTCTTAAATAATGGACTATTCCGTTTTGATTGCGTGGGAAAAACAACATATATCAAAAATGTTATCTGGTTTCAGTGAGAAAATGAAATTAAGAAAGAAAGGAAGATTGAAGTGTCTAAAGTCTATTCCAGTGAAATGGGAAAAAGTTGTCAACTTCAAATCTTTTCATTTGTACCCCCTTCTTAAAATAACGACCAGAATTCATATTTATGATTGTTACTGCAAAATTTCAAGTTTTTTTTTCTAGTCATATCAAACGTTTCTTCTTCTTTTATGTGTCGTGTTCCTTAAGAAGGTAGACGGTTATGGCTCTCCACAACCTCCTATTCCTTGCAGCTTTTAGCAACGTTTATCTTTTTACCATTTCTTCCACTCCCCGTTCTGCCATTCATTCACATAAGCTCAACAGGTTTCGTGACCCGCTGCCTTCCGTTACCCCTTTTGCTTTCGATATGCCCTTAGGCAGATCCTTTATGCAAATCAGAAAGATCGTTGGTCCGTGAAGTAAGCACTGGGAGACGCCTGCGTTGACCCCCAGGGCTTTTCAATCTAAATAACACATAAACACTGGTCATTTCTGTATTAAACAAGTTTTCCCAAAAACATTTTAGTCGCGATCCTGAGCAGATATTTTTGGTCAATGACCTGGTAACACCCGGGAAGGAAGAATAATTTCAGAGCTTCTTGATTGAGTTTCAAGCAATAGATTTACAGATTTTTACCTTAAGTTAATAACGATTGCTATCACTATTTCTTATAGAGATCAAGGAAATCCAAGAGAACACTTGAAGGCAATATATTGCCAATGCCAGGTTTGGTTTGGTTTGGTTTGATTTGGTTTGGTTTGATTTGGTTTGGTTTGATTTGGTTTGGTTTGATTTGGTTTGTTTTACGGCATATCCGCCGCAATGTGTTATTTAATGTCGACAAGATTTTTATTGCGGTTTTTTTTTTTTTTTCTAAAAATATATTGCTGGTATTATTTTTTCTTCAAAAATGTATAGCTGGTAATATTTTTTAACAAAAATGTATTGCATGTACTAATGTATTGTTGGTAATATTTTTTTTCTTCAAAAAATTACTGCTGGGAATAATATTTTACAAAAATGTATTGCTGGTATTAACACCTACTTTTACACTTTCATATTGTTTTGAGCTCATTTCGGGGTTAACTGTTTGCCCATAGCCGGGACCCTATTAGTTGCTACCAGGATCAGGTGGACCTGGGAACACCAGCAATTAAGAGGTGGTTCCACGCTCCTCGAACCTCCTAAGAGGCCTTAAATTTATTTCGATTTAAACTAGAATCAAAACGATAGACATAAGTTCGGTTTAAACTAGAATCAAAACGACAGACATAAGTTCGGTTTAAACCAGAATCAAAACGACAGACATAACACTAGTATCGAAAAGTTCCAGTTTCCACTAAGATAATAACGTTAAACATAGGTCTGGTTTAAACTAGAAGTTCCCATGAATCTCCCTGCTCATAGCCCTTTTTGTATTGTGGATGTTTTTACCTCCCTGCAGGAGAAGCAGTCGGCACAGACAAGTCAGACGACCATTTTCCGAGTCCACTGCCTTAAACAAGGACACATGACACAGTGGATAAAGGTTGTCGTTATATCCAGTGACAGGACCCAAACAGTGTGAGTTCAATACCCGGCTAAGGCAGTGGAGAACTTGGAGAGGGGAATTATCAGGAGATAACTGATAACTAACATCCATTAAACATGGCACATGGAACTAAAACAGTCTACCCCAGCGAGCGAAATAAAGGGTTCAGTTCAACATTCCAACCACCTGAAGAAGGCCGGAGCGTACAACGGCCGAAACGTTATAATAAATATGGAGACAAATATGAGGACAATTTTTCAAAAGAAATTTTCAAAGGGAAAAACAAATTCATTTGGAATGGGGTTGTGCTCCCTGGGGACACCCTGTGATCAAAGTGATCTTGCCGATATGACCTCCATTGTTTGGCTTTCTCCTTCTATCAAAATGAAATATACTTAACCAAGTACCCTCGGTAATATAGTTTCAGAATATATATGGTTAGGGGTGTATATCTCCAAAACCCCAAGAGGAGTTCGATAACAGACAGGCAGACAGACAGAGGCTACAACTTTTTATATATAGATTTTGGAAGTTTTGGCTGTAATGCTTTTAGACCAATAGTGCAGCTCAACTCAGAAAAAAGTTAGTCTGTTTAGTTTTCCGTTCCAGCAAAACGTATGGAACAGAAGACCCTCATCCCTACTTATAGTACCATGGATGATACAGAGACAGCATGAGAGGGGGGTGAGAGAGTTGATTCTATTATCAGTGGTCTGCGAGATAAGTTTACTCCACATAACATTATGTTTGGGCGAAGTGTACATTGTGAACTCGGTACCCGGGGGAGAGAAAGAAAAAAAAAACTTCCCTGCGGTTTTATCCCGTTGTCACAGGTGTTTCTTCTAAGAACTGAAGCAAAGTGGTTGACCTAGAAGAACGACCTCGAAGGCCTTGTTTGACATTTTAAAGGCATGAGTCATGACTTCCACCGAACTAAACCGGACGATTCCTTTGACCTCTTTCCACTTCCTGTTTCGCACACTCTCATGTATACTCCCAGGAATGTGTAAGCACGCATCGGTTCACGTACGGAAATAAGCAAGCTAACATTAATTTATATATAAAAAACACGCAAACACACACGCCACCCTACAAACAAACTAATACAAGTAAACACAGATACGCATGCCTCAACATATAAAAAATAAAGACATGTATATATAAAATTATATCAGTAATAATTTTTTTTTTACCTTCTAGAATAAAACTTTTTTACCTTATATGTATACTCTGAATTACGTCTTTTTTTTACATCTAATCACCGACAGATTTTTTGGTGAGACATATATATATATATATATATATATATATATATATATATATATATATATTTTTGAATTTGTAGGTCTGATGAATTAGATCGTGATTACGATTCCAATCTAATAAATTATAACCATGGAATATTAGTGTTTGAGCTTTTTATATTATATTCTTACTCTGTCCTGGACATTGCGTTCTATCCTCTTGGGAATATATATATATATATATATATATATATATATATATATATTTTTTTTAGTCCTTTAAATTCCTTGAGGAACATAGAGCCGCAAGATATCGTTGAGTTTTCTGTAACAAACCATTTTTTTTGTTTTGTTTTGTTTTTTTTTAATGAATAAGTTGTTAGCCTACGACACAAACGTCCAACCTGGAGGATCAGGTTTTAAATTCAGAGTTCTCTTTCCCTATGACCAGATGCCGCACAAGCTGGTAGGTGGGGAGGAAAAGCGGATTCATGCCTTTCCCAAGGGTATTAGCACGTAAGTGAATCTAATGGATTCGACTGGAATTCGAACTTGGCTCTCCGATTTCTCAATCCGAGCAGCTATCCATTACTCCACCGTGCCTCCTATACTGTTATTATAGCATCCCATAATTCACAAGATTGGCTGGATTCAAATTTTCCCACCACATCCCAAACGATGTGACTATGTGACTGAGGTTCGGTAACTGGAGGCCACTTTAACACACAAAGTGTATTACTATTATTCATCAAACAACCTGAGATTATTTTTATTAGTGACATGATGCATTGATCTGTTGGAAGTCACTCTAAACTAACGCACGTGGCCGTCTAGGATTCAAAACTTTGAGGAAACCACTGGTAATTTTCTTTAATTGGACCAAAAAAAATAGTTACCTTGTACTTTAAATTAGAAAATACGATAAAATTATTATGTATGGTAAAAAAAAAGTTAGACATGATTTTTTAGAAATTTTATTATGACAAAAAAAATGCATTTTATGATTAAATTTTGCTCACGTCAAAATATCCTCCTTTAGCCTTGATTATTGCAGCACAAATGTTTGTCATTCGTTGCAAAAGTTTCATAAAGTACACGTTTGATAATTGATTGCATTCTTTTCTCAATAATTCTATGATCTCTTTTTCATTTTTTGGATCGAAAAGATTTAGTCTTCTTTCAAGTTCATGCTATGCTAATTCTGGATGCTGCTTCAAACTTTCGAACTGAATCCATTTCATATATATATATATATATATGTGTGTGTAAGCAAATAGATCCGACAGTATGAAGAAAAATATATGGAAAAACAAAAATCCGAATATGCAAATATGCTGTTTTAATGTTGTTTCAATGTCGACGTCAGACGTTTCGGTCTAGTGGACCTTCTTCAGGACATAGTTATTAAAACATAATTATCGTCTAATGTTAATTATATTTTAATAACTATGTCCTGAAGAAGATTTTTGTTTTTCCATATATTTTTCTTCATATATATATATATATATATATATATATATATATATATATATATATATATATATATATATATAATATATATGAAGAGGTTATAGTAGTTCCAACTAGAGAAAAATTGTGTATATTAAAAAGAAGAGATAAATCGGAAACGTTTTTGGTTGTAATGTGGATTTTCTTTTTAATATTATGCTTTATTTTCTATAATTTTGCTACACGGGTTTCCGGTCTCGCAACCGTCATCAGGCAAAGTGTGGAGATTTCCAAATATTATTGAAAATAATTAATTTTTTCTTATGTTTTTCGATGTTAAATATTCTCGATATGCTCACGAACGAGAGGGGGCGCTGGGAATTTAAGATTTATTTAAAATTAATTATCTGTTTTTAAATATTTTTAAATAGTTTTAAAATATGCTTTGGGTTTAGCCAATTTCATCTAGTTTCTTTTACTTTTTCTTTATGATTAACTGCTTTTGTTGTCAAAATTGTTCTTGATATATAAAAACATATTATAATTTTCCCATATATATATACATATATATATATATATATATATATATATATATATATATATATATATAAGCTATATTTAGGCAGCAAGTATTTATCCCATAAAAAGTTTGGTAAATTCAGCCGACAAAGTCTGTTTATCTGTCTATATGTCTGAGATGAGGTATTGTAAAGCATTGTGACGCTATTCACGAAGTTTCGGTCGTTGTATGCTCCAGCCTTCTTCAGGTGATTGGAATTTCGAACAGAACTCCACCAGAGTACATTATTCTCGTTCCACGTACCAAGCCTCTTCCGGGTGTATTAATTATCTCCTTTCAACTCAATTCTCCAAGTTTTTGTTCACCTCTGCCATAGCCAGGTATTGAACTCACAATTCATTGGATCAAGCCGCTCTCAAAAACACATGGCCCAAGATATGGCAACAAAGATGAGAACAACAGTACGAAGTGCAAATAAATTCTGTTTAATTTTTTACAGCATTTTCCGAATCTTTGAAAGGGTCAGATTTATACTAGTATAAAAATGATAGACATAGAATAGTAAAATCTTAGACATGAGTCCGGCTTACAGTAGAGTAAAACCTACATATGAATGTAGATGGGGTCTACATTAGAGCCGAAAACATAAGAATAGGCCCAGTTTACACTAGAACTGAAAAGGTCCCGTTTACACAAGGATAAAAACGGTAGATATAAGTCTAGTTTTACTGTTTACGTGAATCCCCCTCCCCAGATAGACAGCATTTTTTTTTTCTTGTGAGCTTTTTACCTCCCTGAAGGAGAAGCAGTCGGCACAGACAGGGTAGACGACCGTTTTCGGAGGCCGTTTTATTAAGCTACGATTTCCTATAGTTGTTGAATATCTGTTTAATTTTTCATTGAATTTTTCCAATTTTCGAATAAGATATTGTACATTCGGATCAAGATTGTGAACAAACTGTCCGCAGTTTATGTTTTGTTCTGTTTTGTTAAAATACTTTCCACTATTTCAGTCTTTATTTATTGTTGTCAGTCTGATAAACAATAATTTGTTGTCTACATCCTGGCATTTTTCAGTCCAAAATGACGTCATCTATAAAGGTTACATTGACTTAAACTGCACTAGAAAAGTATGATCAAGTTTATGTAATTTTACTATTATTGTGTATCTTGGAAGCACGTTGAGAATGTTCTGTGATGTTGATGTGGAAATTTCAAACCTCATGCAAAAAGTATCTGTCAGTTTTTATGAGGTATTATGTACACTATTTACATTATTCTGACTATTCTCCTCATCTTTGTCGCCATATTTGTCACAACGTTTCGGCCATTGTATGCTCCGGTCTTCTTCAGGTGTTTGGAATGTCGAACTGAAACCTTTATTTCGCTCACTGGGGCTCTAGTTCCACGTGCCATGTTTAATGGATGTCAGTTATCAGTTATCTCCTGTTAATTCCCCTCTCCAAGTTCTCCACTGCCTTAATCGGGTATTGAATTAACATTCTTTGGGTATTGTCAGTGGATCTAACTAACGCCTTTATCCATTGTGCCATGTGTCCTCAAGGAAACATGTTAGGTTAGCCACGCGCCAATGTATATATTTACCAATATTACACAACAATATCTTGAAATACTAAAGAGTAAATTTATCCAATAAAATCGCTATTGACTCCAAGCATGGCCCCCAGACGACTTCAGAATCTCCTGCAACTATTCTGGACGGTCTCCTTTTTTAAGTTGGTGAATGATTTTATAACCCTTGCCTTCAGTTCATCTTTCGTGTTCTGTTGGTTTCTCTCTCAATTCCACCCGACACATAATAATTAAGGGGGTTGCAGTCTGGGGAGTTAAGTGGTCAAATTTAAGGGGTGATGTGGTTGCAGTTGTCTGACAGCCATGATTGGCTTCTTCTGTTTGTATGTCATGGTGCAGAGACATTAAGACTTCCATCAGCCGTCCTCTTGACCCAGGGTAGCATTACCTCCTCAAGTCACTTGATATTGTACTCGGGTAGATTCTCCCAACACCGCAGATTGTTATGCAGTCAAAACATGAACCTGGAAACTTGAGTCATCTTTTTAATTAACCTCGTCAGATGGAGATTTCCCTATGGATGCCATGCATGGTGCCAAATTCTTTGAGAAATATTTAAAGTATCAGCTGTATACAGCTGCTTTCTAAAATCAATGGCTTTGAGAGAGTGAAGGCTCTGGATCTTGGAGAAGTCCATCCTTTTTTGAATATTGTAAACTGGCGGTACTGAACCAAAAAGAATTGTTCAAAGTAATGTAAACTACTTCCCTTAAAGACTTTCAACAACAGTAACAACTAAAATGGATAGCACATATAACACGTAGAGAAAATAATGACATAATCCAGATGATGACCTTCCACAATACTTTAAGAAAGCCCCCATCAATCAATGCTGGAAAGTTCGACAACTACTGGACTTGAGAAAACTATTTTCCTGTTTGTTTTAAAAGAAAGACTTTATAAATTTCAACCAGCAGCAGTACTGATTACA